CTCCCAGCATGCCTGAATTCTAAGTGCTGGCCCAGAGAGAGAAGAATTATCACAGGGAGAGTGAGATAAGGATTTTCTTGGTTAGTGCTAGCAAATGACAGAGTTTTTCCTGTTTCACATACGGTTTTTACATGATTTAATTGTTTAAAATGTTTGTGAACATTCAGATAACTGCCCTGTGGTTTTATAGACTTTTTTATGAAAATGAATAACGTTCGAAATTTTATTCATTAATATAAACGACTCAACAGTAAGCTTTGCTTTTTTTTTTTTTGAGATGGAGTCTCACTCTGGTCACCCGGCCTGGAGTGCAGTGGTGTGATCCGACTCTCAGGTGTTTCTCATGCCTCAGCCTCCCCAATAGCTGAGACTACAGGTGCCTGCCATCAGGCCCAGCTAATTTTTTTTTTTTTTTTTTTTTTTTGAGACGGAGTTTCGCTCTTGTTACCCAGGCTGGAGTGCAATGGCTCGATCTCGGCTCACCGCAACCTCCGCCTCCTGGGTTCAGGCAATTCTCCTGCCTCAGCCTCCTGAGTAGCTGGGATTACAGACACGCGCCACCATGCCCAGCTAATTTTTTGTATTTTTAGTAGAGACGGGGTTGCACCATGTTGACCAGGATGGTCTCGATCTCTCGACCTCGTGATCCACCTGCCTCGGCCTCCCAAAGTGCTGGGATTACAGGCTTGAGCCATCGCGCCCGGCCAATTTTTGTATTTTTAGTAGAGATGGGTTTCACCATGTTGGCCAGGCTTGTCTGGAACTCCTGAGCTCAGCTGATCTGCCTGCCTTGGCCTCCCAGAGTACTGGGATTATAGGCCTCCCAGAGTGCTGGGATTATCGGGGTTTTTTTTTTTTTTTTCATTTTATTTATTTATTTATTTTAAGATTACAGTCATGGGCCACCATGCCTGACTAATTTTGTATTTTTAGTAGAGACAGGTTTTCTCCATGTTGGTCAGGCTGGTCTTGAACTCCTCACCTCAGGTGATCCACCAGCCTCAGCCTCCCAAAGTGCTGGGATTACAGGCGTGAGCGGGTGCCTGTAGTCCTAGCTACTCAGGAGGCTGAGGCAGGAGAATCGCTTGAACCTGCAGGCGGAGGTTGCAGTTAACTGAGATCTCCTGCCTCAGTCTCCCAAGTAGCCGGTATTACAGGTGCCTAGCCGGTATTACAGGCGCCCAGTACCACTGAAATATTTTTCTGAGAGGGAGACTTGCTCTGTTGCCCAGACTGGAGTGAAGTGGTGTGATCTCAGGTCACTGCAACCTCCGCCTCCTCGGTTCAAGTGATTCTCTTGCCTCAGCCTCCCAAGCAGCTGGTCTACAGGCACATGCCACCATACCCAGCTAATTTTTGTATTTTTAGTTTTAGTAGAGAGGGGTTTCACTGTTTTGGCCAGACTGGTCTCAAACTCCTGACCTCAAGTGATCCGCCTGCCTTGGCCTCCCAAAGTGCTTGGATTACAGGTGTGGGCCAGGGCTGTGGTGTATTGAGAGCAAGGCATGCTTTTGTGTTGCTCTGTGGCTGAATAAAAGTGTTTGATGTGTTGTGTCTCTGGCTGGGTTGGGTTTGTCTGGATGTGCAATCGTGTAAATGGGTGTGGGTGATCACTGTGTGTTATTTGTCGTGTGTATGTGTGTGTGTGAGGGAGAGAGAGGGAGAGAGAAAAGGAGGGGGTGAGAGAGCGAGAGTGAGAGAAAGAGAGAGAAAGAGAGAGAGAGAGAAGGGGGGAAAGGGGGGGAAGGGAGAGGGGTGGCCTGCCAGCCCAAGATTCATTAGTAATTCCTCCAGCATCACCACCCATTTCTGGGCAACAGAAGCCCCTTTGTTCTCAGTGGCAGAAGCAGTGATGTCCCTTTTCTCTTGAGGCCCCTGGCAACTTCTCAGCCTTGAGCCTGCTCAACAGAAGGTCCTCCAAGCTTTTGCACTGAGCCTGGACACTTGCAGAGTGTGCTGAGGACATTAGTGAGGGCACCAGGCCTGTGACAGCCACAGTGACTTGGCCGGTGCTGGAGGAGCCCAGGGGCTTAGAGAAGACCTTCTTTTTTTTTTGTGAGACGCAGTCTCGCTGTGTCACCAGGCTGGAGTGCAGTGGTGCAGTCTCGACTCACTGCAACCTCTGCCTCCCGAGTTCAGGCGATTCTCCTGCCTCAGTCTCCCAAGTAGCTAGGATTACAGGTGCCCACTACCACCCCCCACAATTTTTTTCTTTTTCTTTTTCTTTTTTTTTTTTTAGCTGGAGCCTGGCTCTGTTGCTTAGACGAGTGCAGTGGCTCGATCTCGGCTCACTGTAATATCTGTCTCCCAGGTTCAAGTGATTCTTTTGCCTCAGCCTCCTAGGTAGCTGGGACTACAGGCTGGAACCACCACGCCCAGCCTATTTTTTTTTTTTTTTTTTTTTTGTATTTAGTAGAGACAGGGTTTCACCGTGTTGGCCAGGCTAGTCTTGAACTCCTGACCTCAGGTAATCTGCCCGCCTTGGCCTCCCCAAGTGCTGGATTACAGGTGTGAGCCACTGTGCCCGGCCGAGTTAACCTTTATTGAGTTATTCCCGTGTGCCCGACACAGCTCTGGTTCTTTCTACCTGTATAAATTTACTCACTGCTCACATCAACCCCCAACGGAAGTGTTATTTTCATGTTGCTTCCTGCTCTTTATCTCCACTTGCCAAATCACTCCCATGAGTAAGGGGACTTCTATTTCTTCATTGCTATATCAGTCCCTGGAAACTGGGACTGCAGGTGGTTACAAAGTACCTATTGTTAAGTAAGTGAACATTCCCGGTAGGCAATTACACTCATCTCCCAAATGGGAAACAGGTTCAGAGGTAGCATCTGCACTCTCATTCTCAGCTGCCTTGTTTCTAGCACTTTCCATGATGATGCCCTTTCACGGAGAGGGTTCTTGGGAAGTGACCATTGCTGTGTAATGAATGACCAGGCTGTGCCAGGGTCCAGCTGCAGCCTTTTCCTTTCGCTCTCTCTCTCTTTTTGAGACGGAGTTTCGCTCTTGTTGCCCAGACAGAAGGGCAGTGGTGCGATCTTGGCTCACTGCAACCTCTGCTTCCCCGTTCAAGTGATTCAAGCCTCCGGAGGAGCTGGGATGACAGGTACCTGCCACCAGGCCCAGCTAATTCTTTGTGTGTGTTTTTTTTTTTTTTTTTTTTGAGACGGAGTTTCGCTCTTGTTACCCAGGCTGGAGTGCAATGGCTCGATCTCGGCTCACCGCAACCTCCGCCTCCTGGGTTCAGGCAATTCTCCTGCCTCAGCCTCCTGAGTAGCTGGGATTACAGGCACACGCCACCACGCCCAGCTAATTTTTTGTATTTTTAGTAGAGACAGGGTTTCACCATGTTGACCAGGATGGTCTCGATCTCTCGACCTCGTGATCCACCCGCCTCGGCCTCCCAAAGTGCTGGGATTACAGGCTTGAGCCACCGCGCCCGGCCCTCTTTGTGTTTTTAGTAGAGATGGGGTTTCACCATGTTGGCCAGGCTGGTCTTGAATTCCTGATCTCAGGTGATCCACCTGCTCTGGCCTCCCAAAGTGCTGGGGTTACAGGCATGAGTCACCGCGCCTGACCAGGCCTTTTCTTTTTGAGACAGTGTCTCACTGTGTTGCCCAGGCTGGAGTGGCGGTGGCGCAATCATGGTTCACTGCTGCCTCAAACTCCTGGGCTAAAGTAATCCTTCCACCTCAGCCTCCCCAATAACTGGGAGTACAGGTGTATGCCACCACTAGAACTAATTTTTAAATTTTTTTGTAGAGATGGGAACTCGCTATGTTGCCCCAGCTGGTCCCAGATTCTTAGGCTCAAGCTATCCTTCTGCCTCGGCCTCCCAAAGCGTTGGGATTACAGGTATGAGCCACCGTGCCTGGCCACAGCAGGTCTTGTTTTTTTAGAGAGGGTCTCGCTTGGTGGGCCAAGGTAGAGTGCAGGGCTGCAATCACCGCTCACAGCAGCTTCCAACTCCTGGGCTCGAGTGATCCTCCTGCCTCAGCCTCTCCAGTAGCTGGAACTATAGGCACACACCACCCCGCCCTGCTAATTTATTATGTATGTATGTGTGTAGGTATGTATTTTTTGAGACGGAGTCTCTCTCTGTTGCCCAGGCTGAAGTGCATTGGTCCGATCTTGGCTCACTGCAGCCTCTGCCTCCGAGGTTCAAGCGATTCTCCTGCCCCTGCCTCAGCCTTCAGAGGAGCTGGGCTTACAGCCGTGCGCCACCATGCCCAGCTAATTTTTATATTTTTAGTAGAGACGGGGTTTTATGTTGGCCAGGCTGGTCTCGAACTCTTGACCTCAAATGATCCGCCCACCTCGGCCTCCCAAAGTGCTGGGATTACAGGTGTGAGCTACCGCGCCCAGCTGCTAATGTATGATGATTATTCTGCAGAGACGCAGTCTAGACATGTTGCCCAGGCTGGTCTTGAAATCCTGGGCTCAAGCGATCCTCCCGCCTCTGCCTCCCAAAGTCCTGGGGTTACAGGCCTGAGCCACCGCGCACTCCAGCTGCAGGTCTTTTTAAGGCAGCTGTGGGGGGCCTGGACCGCTCCCAGAAAACCTTCCCTCCAACCCCCTCCCTCTTCCGTCACCTGGTCTACCCCGAATCTTCCCCTACTCGTCCCTCTCGCCCTCTCCGAGAGATGAGGGACCCGAGAATCGCGCCCCGCCTCCGTCCCCACGGCGCCGCCCCGCAGCCCACGCGCTTTTTGAAAGGACCACCCTTGAGGCTGATTCCGGGTCCAGCTGGGAGCGGCGGCCCCTGAACCAGCACCCGCGCGGGCCGTTCCATTCCGGCCGGGGAGGGGGGGACCTGGGAAGGGACGCGCGGAGGGCGTCACCCGGGGACTGCCTCTATCGAGACTCTCTCCAGCCCAACAGGGGGACGGGAAGGAGACTTGTGTGGGGGCTTCGGGCTGGCGGGCCGCGGGTCCGTCGTCCCCCGCCTTGGCGCCTCTCCGCCCCCCGCTCCTCCCCGGCATTGGTTGGCGCCAGGGGAAGCAGAGGCTCCGTCCTTACTGAGCGGGTTCCTGCCGCACTCGCGCAGACGTCGCGCGTCCAGGCGGGAGGTCGGTGTGGCCCGGGCGTCTGCTCCCCGGCGGCTGTGGCAGCCCCGAGCCATGGCTCTCACGGTCCGAGTCGTTTATTGGTAAGCGCAGCGGGCAGCGGCGCCCCCGTTCCCGACCCCTTCTGGGACCCGATCCTCCGCAACGCTCGGAGTCGGGGTCTGGGGGCGTCGGGGCGAGGACCCGTGGGAAAAGCGATTCCCGTGTGGGTGGGGTGGGCGTGCGGAGGGGCGAAAAGCAGAGGGCGGTGGCCCCTGGGTCGCCTCGTCGGCTTGCGACACGCTGGGCATCCCGCGTTCTAAAAGGTGCGGCTGAGACGGGTGTGCGTCAGTTTCCAGCTCCCGCGGCGGGGCTGCGCTGGGGGAAGGGGCTGGCGGTCAGCTTTGTAAAGGGACCTCAGCCCCCTCCACCCTAAGTCTTCCCCTCCCGCAGCATCCAGAACAGTCACGGGGTGGGGACGGTGAGCGCCCAGAAGGTTCGAGAATGTCTCAACCCGCGTTTCGAAAGCACTTGCATTGTGGGCCTCTGCCCGGTGGTTTCCCTTGGCCACGAACCCCTCTCCGTTTCTGGCCTGAGTTTTCCTGTCTGTGGCGAGAGGGAGGCTTCGCGTCAGCACCGAACCCGTTTAATACCTCCCAAGTCTCAGGAAGGATGTAATAGGATAGGACATAAATTACATTCTCCCCACTCCCCAATACCAAATACTATGCTGACATTCAGTTAGGTATTTAGTAAACACATGCTCAATAAATTTATCCTCCCACAAATCCTTTAAGAGAGGAGAATTTTAGGCCAGGCACCGTTGATCACGCCTGTAATCCAAACACTTTGCGAGGGGCCGAGGCGGGTGGATCGCTTGAGTCCAAGAGTTCGAGGCCAGCCTGGGCTGTATTGCCCAGGGAGATCCCCATCTCTACAAAAACTTAGAAAGTTAGCCGGGCTTGGTGCACCTGTAGTCCCAGCTACTCCGGAGGCTGAGTTAGGAGGATCAGGAGGATCGCAGGAGCCTGGGAGGCGGAGGTTGCCATGAGCTGAGAACGCAACACTGCACTCCAGCCTTGGCGGCCGAGTGAGACTACCTTACAGGCGAGGAAACAGGCTGGGGCTAGGGTGGGGTCACGTCAGTAGCTTCAAGTCTGGACTGCAGGTGACAGGGGTAACTGGAACCCGGGTCTGCTCGCAGCTTTCGAATGTCTCTGCCTGCTCGACAAAGCAGAGACAAGAGTGACATTTCGAGACGCCCACCAGGCCTGTGCAGCAGATTCCAGTCCCAAAATAGCCTGCTGTGGGGGTAGGGTGAGCTTGTATTTCAGCCTGGGGACTGGGAAGGTGTTCAGAAACCTGGAGCCGCTGGGCCGTGCGCTGTGGCTCGTGCCTGTAATCTCAGCACTTTGGGAGGCAGAGGCGGGCTGATCCCCTGAGGTCAGAAGTTTGAGCCTGGGCAGCAGGGCGAAAATACAAAAATTAGGCGGGCGTGGTGTAAGAATCCAGTAGCCGCAGGGTTTTCCTTGGAGCGCTGCGAGGGCTTTGGGTGGGGGCGTGGGCACAGGAAGTGGGTGGGGGCCTCATTTGCGCTGTTCTAATCCAGTTCTCCTGGTTTTTCTCTGTCCCGTCTGTCTCATCCTGCTGGCGTCCCTGTCTCCTCTCTCTCGCGTTCTTCCCCCCCCCCTCCGTCTCTTGCGTGGTGTTGGTTTTCTGTGTGTGTCTGTGCTTCCTGGTGCCACCCGGTGCTGTGTCCCAACACTCTGCCTGGCTGGTGCCATCTGTCACCTCTGCTTGGTCATCTGTGTTCCTCTATTTCTTCCTGGCCCCACCTTGCTCCCCCCACCCCCACACTGCCTGTCTCTCCCCTCCTCTCCCGGATCCCCCACTTCTCCCTCTCTCCCCTGGGCCCCGCCTTCTCGGACTCTCCTACCAGTGGCGCTTGAGGCTACAAGTCCAAGGTAAGCAGAGTGGGGGCTGGCGGGGGAGTGCCTATCAGGAGGGAGGCTAACTGGTATGACCCCTGCCGTGACCTCCCACCCCATTTTCAGTATCTTCAGCTCAAGAAGAAGTTAGAAGATGAGTTCCCCGGCCGCCTGGACATCGTGAGTCTCGGGAGGGGAAGAAAGACTTGAGCACAGGCACTGTGCTGGTCCCTTAGGCCTGGATGGCATTGGGGGTAGGGGCTGTTAGGTAACCCCCTGGGAAGGGGAGGGTCTCCCCAAGAGGACATCTCAGCCCCTCCAACATCCTCTCTCCCTTCCTCAGTCCGGCGAGGGAACTCCCCAGGCCACCGGGTTCTTCGAAGTAACGGTAGCTGGGAAGTTGATTCACTCTAAGAAGGTATGTCTGTCTGTCCTGCCTCGTTTTGGCGCTAGCGTGGGTTGCAGCTGAGGTTGGTGTCTCAGTCCCAGCTCATCCCTTCTTTCTTCCTCCCCTTCCTAGAAAGGCGATGGCTATGTGGACACGGAAAGCAAGTTTCTGAAGCTGGTGGCCGCCATCAAAGCTGCCTTGGCTCAGGGCTAATGCGCCCTGAAGGCAGAGGTGAGAGGGAGGGGCCACCAGACAGGGAACCACCCTTTGGGTCTTCTCCCAGCCCTGTCCTCTGACTCCTTGACCCAGGGTGGAGAGCCTAGGAGATGAGGGGGACATCTCGTATGTCCCCAGAGCAAGCAGGATGAAGTTAGACCTGCATGATGAAGGATGACAACTGAGATGGAGTCAGAGGTGTGCAGGGTGACAGCTGAGATGGTAGTGATGGGTTAGAGGTGTGCAGTGTGATCGGCTTTCCTCCATCTCCCAAAGTGCTGGGACTACAGGCGGGAGCCACAGCGCTCGGCTATTCATTTATTTTTTGAGATGGAGTCTCGCTCTGTCACCTAGGCTGGAGTGCAGTGGCGCATTTTCGGCTCACTGCAACCTCCGCCTCCCGTATTTAAGGGATTCTCTTGTCTCAGCCTCCTGAGTAGCTGGGATTACAGGCTCGTGCTACCATGCCTAGCTAATTTTTGTATTTTTAGTGGAGATGGAGTTTCGCCCTATTGGCCAGGCTCGTTTTGAACTCCTGACCTCAGGTGATCCACTTGCCTTGGCCCCCGAAAATGCTGGGATTCCAGGCATGAACCACCGAGCACAGCCATACTTTCTACTCCTCTCTAGACTTCAGCTCCCGTCCCCACTCCATGCTGATCTAGAACAGAGTCCCGTCCAGCACAAGGTGGACCCGAGTACCAGCTCCCAGCAGGCCTTGTGCCAGAAAACTAGTTTGAAGTGCATGAAGCTCAAGTTCCATTTCCTAGAATTCCCAGAGCAGAACGAGGTCGTGTTCAGTGTGAATTGGGACGTGCTAATTTGAAGTCGTGCAGTACAGAGACACAAATGGTATCTTGCCTTATGTGCAGGTCTGAAACAAAGCAAATCCCTTTAAAATAATGGAAAAGAAAATGGAATTGCAGAATTCCAAAGCTGTATTAGCTGAATACATTGTGGCCTGTTGCTGAGTGTGGGGGTGGGGTGCCACCATGTGAGCTTTGAATTTTTTTTTTTTTTTTTTTTGAGATTGAGTTTCACTCTGTTGCCCAGGCTGGAGTACAGTGATGCCATCTCTGCTCACCACAGCCTCCACCTCCCAGGTTGATGCCATCTCCTGCCTCCTCCTGAGTAGCTGGGATTACAGGTGCCCACCACCATGCCTGGCTACTTTTTGTAACTCCTGACCTCAAGTAATCACCCACCTCAGCCTCCCAAAGTGCTGGCTGTTTTTTTTTCCCCCACCCAGATGGAGTCTCGCTCTGTTGCCCAGGCTAATTTCTGTGTCTTTAGTAAGATGGGGTTTTACCCTGTTGGCCAGGCTAGTCTTGAACTCCTGCACTCGAGTGATCCACCCGCCTCAGCCTCCCAAAGTGCTGGGATTATAGGTGTGAGCCACCGCGCCTGGTCTGACTAGGACAGTCTTAGGCAGGACGCTGCAAGGTCTTATAGGGGACCCCCCAGGAGCTGGGCAAGGTGCAGATCTCTTTGGCGGAGGCGAACTCTCTTCTGCACAGTGACTAAACCAGGCAGTTGGTGAGGAACAGAGAGGTCCAAGTGGGACCCAGCCCAGGGGGACTGCCTTGGGTATCAAAGAAAACAGTGTCTGTTGGCCGGGTGCGGTGGCTTATGACTGTAATTCCAGCACTTTGGGAGGCTGAGACAGGCAGATCACGAGGTCAGGAGATCCATACCGTCCTGGCTAACACGGTGAAACCCCAGCTATACCGAAAATATAAAAAATTAGCCGAGCGTGGTGGCGGGCACCTGTAATCCCAGCCACTGCTTGGGAGGCTGAGGCAGGAGAATCGATTGAACCTGGGAGGCAGAGATTACAGTGAGCCGAGATGGTGCCAACTGCACTCTAACCTGGGCACAGAGCGAGACTCTGCCTCAAAAAAAAAAAAAAAAAGAAAACAATGTCTGTTGTTGTAATAGGTCTCTGGAAACCAGATTTGGCTGTGTGGGGGTGGCTAGCAAGGCTTTCTGTGAGGTCCGTGGCTGGCTGCCCCTCAGCACCATCACAGCTGCCTCAGTTTCCTCATCAGAATTCCTCACTGCAGAAAACTGAGAAGTAGGTCTTAGCCAAACTCACTTTGTGGAGTTACAATTTCTTTCCCTCCTGGGTGTTCCATTTCCTTGTGCCTCAGTTTCTCTCTGCATCTTCATTTTCCTCCGACTCTTCCTTATCCTTCTTGTGTTTATTTTTTTTTGTTTTGAAATGGAATTTCACTCTTGTTGCCCAGGCTGGAGTGCAGAGGCACTATCTCAGCTCACTGCAACTTCCGCCTCCTGGGTTCAAGCAGTTCTCCTGCCTCAGCCTTGCAAGTAGCTGGTATTACAGGCGCCCACCACCATTCCTGGCTAATTTTTTGTGTTTTTAGTAGAGACAGGGTTTCACTATGTTGGCCAGGCTGGTTTAGTAGAGACAGGGTTTCACTATGTTGGCCAGGCTGGTTTTGAACTTCTCACCTCAGGCAATCCACCTACCTCGGCCTCCCAAAGTGCTGGGATTACAGGTGTGAGCCACTGCGCCTGGCGTTTTGTGTGGTTTTTTTTTTTTTTTTTTTTTTTTTTTTTGAGACAGGGTCTCCTTGTCATCCAGGCTGGAGTTAAGTGGTGCAGTCACAGCTCACTGCAGCCTCGACCTCCTAGGCGCAAGTGACCCTCCCACTTCGGCCTCCCAAGTAGCTGGGACTACAGGTGTGCAGCACCATGCCCAGCTAATTTTTGCAGTTTTTGTAGAGATGGATTTTTTTTTTTGTTTGTTTTTTTTGCCTTTTTTTTTTTTTTTTTTTTTTGCCATGTTGCCCAGATTGGTCTCAAACTCCTGGGCTGAAGTGATCGCCTGCCTCAGCCTTGCAAAGTGCTGGGATTACAGGCAAGAGTCATCGCGCCCTGCTTATTTATCTTTCTTCCTTGTGATGGGGCCCCCAAGCCTGGCCTCTGTTCCTGCAAACTGACTCCCTCCCCCAGCCACCTTTTTTTCCTCTCCACAGTCCAGGGACCTTAATCCAGCCCCTCTCAGCAGACGCTTCATGACGGGAAGGAGTGAAATGCCTCGTGGACGCCTGGTCCTTCCCCGATGCTCTCGTGGCTGCTGTTGGGGGCAGAGATTGATGCCCTTGCTCTCTGCCTCTGTGTGTGTGTGTCTTCCCTGGGCTCCACACTGCCCCACCCTCCTCCCATCGCCCGATCTGATCAGATTTCTGTGCACACCCCATGTTTCCCCAGTTGTCCCCCGGAGTTTGGGGCACAGTCCTGCCTCAGGCATCCTTCTCAAGGGGAAGCCAAGAGAGGCATCAGGATGGTTGAGTGTCTGATTGTGGCAAAGTTTGTAGCTGTTCACAATTCAATAAATATTGGAAGAGTTTAACCCAATGTGCCTGTGAGGAGTGTATTCTCTTTTACCCCGGGCCTGCTCCCTCCAGGCCCGCATCCCAGATGATTGACCACGTGTTGAGTGCTCAGTGCACCAGCCCTCTGCTAATAAGGAAGCACTTTGCAGCAATACCGAGGGTGTGATTTTTTGAGACAGTTTTGCCCTGGAGGGCAGTGGTATGATCCCAGCTCACTGTAACCTCCATTTCAGGGGTATAAGTGATTCTATCGGCCTCCTGATACCTGGGGACCACAGGGGAGCACTGCCATGCCTGGCTGATTTTTTTTTCTTTTTTCTTTTTTTTTTTTTTTGAGGCAGTCTTGCTCTGTCGCCCAGGCTGGAGTGCAGTGGTGCCGTCTCAGCTCACTACAACCTTCGCCTCCCAGGTTCAAGCGATTCTCTTGCCTCAGCCTCCCAAGTACCTGGGATTGCAGGTTTGTGCCACCATGCCTGGCTAATTTTTGTATTTTTAATAGAGACAGGGTTTCACCATGTTGGCCAGGCTGATCACGAACTCTTGACCTCAGGGGATCCACCTGCCTTGGCCACCCAAACTGCTGGGATTACTTAGGCTTGAGGTACTGCTCCCCTTTTTTTTGTAGAGATGAGGTCTCACTATGTTGCCCAGGCTGGTCTTGAACTGAGCTCAAATGATTCTCCTGCCTCCATCTCCTGAAGTGTTGGGATTGCAGGTGTGGGCCACCTGTGCCTGGCCCTAGGTATTTTCTCACAGTTCTGGAGGCCAGAAATCCAAGATCAAGAAGGTGCTGGGGGAGTCATGTCCTCTTCATACTGGGTCGCCTTTTCTTTTTTAGATGGAGTCTTTGTCACTCAGGCTGGAGTGCAGTGGCTCGGTCTCAGCTCACTGCAACCTCCACCTCCCAGATTCTCTTGCCTCAGCCTCCTGAGTAGCTGGAATTACAGGCACCTGCCACCACACCCAGCTAATTTTTTGTATTTTCAGTAGAGACGGGGTTTCAACGTGTTTGCCAGGATTGTCTCAATCTCCTGTCCTCGTGACCCGCCCGCGTGGGCCTCCCACAGCTCTGGGATTACAGACGTGAGCCGCCCGTCCCAGCCTGCTTTTCTTTTTTTTTAAAGAGACTAAGATATGGCTCTGTCACCCAGGCTGGAGTGCAGTGGCATGATCACAGTTCATTGCAGCCTCGAACTCCTGAGTGACCCTCCCACCTTAGCCATCTGAGTAGCTGGGACTACAAGCGTACCACCACTCGCAGCTGATTTATTTTTCATTTTGGAGGGGAACTGGGTGGTGATGGCGCAGGGTGGGAGGCCTCGTTAATGTTGCTCAGGCCGGTCTTGAATCAGGTCTCAAGCAATCTTACCCGCCTTGGCTTTCAGAGCAGGCATTGGTTGGGAAAAGCGTCAGCCGGGAAGTGATGCGAATCAGCTTTCGTCACAGCCCATTGGCCAGAACCAGTTACACAGCCCCGCCCACTTTCCGAACTCCGCCCACAAAACCCGTGCCCACCTGTGGAACCTGGCTAGGGAACTTGTTTAGGAAGGGAATGAGAAGCCGGGCGCAGTGGCTCACCCCTCTAATGCCAGCACTTTGGGAGGCTGAGGTGAGTGGATCACGAGGTCAGAAGTTCAAGACCAGCCTAGTGAAGATGGTGAAAACCCGTCTCTACTAAAAACTACAAAAATATTAGCCGAGTGTGGTGGCGGGCACCTGTAATCCCAGCTGCTTGGGAGGTTGAGGTAGGAGAATCGCTTGAACCTGGGAAGGGGAGGTGGAGGTTGCTGTGAGCCGAGATCATGCCACTGCACTCCAGCCTGGGCGACTGAGAATCTGAGAAAAAAAAAAAAACGAAGGGGATGAGAAATTGAAAACTTGGTGAGCACTCCAAGTATCTACCAGCCCTCTCTTGTTTTCATTGTACCATATGCATGAAAGCGCCACCATCTGACTTTGGCTTAATCAGGACCATTCACACCTTCCAAGAGTTCAGCCTAAACATCACCAGACTAACGGGGGGCGGGGGGAGGGGGGGAGGGGAGACACCGTGAATTCCTTTCTAACGGCGACAGCATGTGGCCACGGCTGAGAACTGCATCTTCTCAGTTCACCTCGGATCACCGTGGAAGACCTGGAATCCCTGCGGGTCACCAGGAATGGCTTCCGGCCATCTGAATTTTGAGTAGTCAAGCGAATCACCATCTTTGGCTGGGTGACGTGACACTTTCTTTTTAAAACTTAAAAATTTAAATTTGGCCGGGCAAGGTGGCTCACGCCTGTAATCCCAGTACTTTGGGAAGCCAAGGTGGGTGATCACAAGGTCAGGAGTTTGAGGCCAGCCCGGCCAACACGGTGAAACCCCGTCTTTGCTAAAAATACAAAAATTAGCAGGGCGTCGTGGCACAAGCCTGTTGTCCCATCTGCTCAGGAGGCTGAGGCAGGAGAATCACTTGAACCCGGGAGGCAGAGGTTGCAGTGAGCCGAGATTGAGCCATTACACTCCAGCCTGAGTGACAGAGTGAGACTCTGTCTCAAAAAAAAAAAAAAAAAAAAAAAAAAAAAAAAAAAAAAATTTCTGGGTACATAGTAGGTGTATATATTTATGGGGCACATGGGCTACTTTGATACAGACATACAATGCATAATAATCACATCAGAGTAAATGAAGTATTTATCCCCTCAAGCATTAACTTTCGTTACAAATAATCCAATTAATAATCTTGTTTTTTTAGACATAGTCTCACTCTGTCGCCCAGGTTGGAGTGCAATGGTACCATCTAAGCTCACTGCAACCTCCGCCTCCTGGCTTCAAGCGATTCTCCTGCCTCGGCATCCCTAGTAGTTGGGACTACAGGCGCACACCACCACGCCCAGCTAAATTTTGTATTTTCAGTAGAGACAGGTTTTTACCACATTGGCCAGGATGGTCTCGATCTCTTGACCTCATGATCCACCCACCTCGGCCTCCCAAAGTGCTGGGATTACAGGGGCGATTACCTGCCTTTGGTTTCTTTAAATTGCGCCTAAATTCCACAGACATAATCTCTGCCATCGCTGAAAATCCTATTTTCAGGCTTGGTGAAGTATTCCAGGCATGTCTTCTTATTTCCTACCCAAACCTGGAGTCAGCATTTGTGTCAAGGACCTCGAGTTCCTTTCAGAGGAAAATGATTTCGACAATAATCTGTGTGCCTAGAAATCTAGATGGGACTTAACAAAATCTCTGCTCCCTTAGTGGTGAAGAGGGCAGAGTCTGCCAGCCCTCTTTGGGTAGGGGCTCACTCTATCTCTTGTGCCTCTGCCTCTCTATCCCCCTGTCTGTTACTCAGAGTTCTGTGTCACTCCCTCTCCTAGTCTGTCAAAAGCAGGAGAAGGCTGGACTCGGCGGCTCACGCCTGTAATGCTAGCACTTTGGGAGACTGAGGCAGGTGGATCACATAAAGTCAGGAGTTGGAGCCCAGCTTGGCCAACATGGTGAAACCCTGTCTCTACTAAAAATACAAAAAACTAGCCAGGTGTGGTGGTGGGCGCCTGTAATCCACAGCTACTCAGGAGGCTGAGGCAGGAGAATCGCTTGAACCTGGGAGGTGGAGGTTGCAGCGAGCCGAGATAACCCCACTGCACTCCAGCCTGGACCACAAAGGCAAAACTCCCTCTAAAAAACAAAAACAAAACAAAACAAAAAAGGCTGGGCGTGGTGGCTTATGCTTGTAATCCCAGCACTTTGAAAGGCCGAGGCAGTGGATCACCTGAGGTCAGAAGTTCGAGACCAGCCTGGCCAACATGATGAAACCCTGTCTCTACTAAAAAGACAAAAAAAACTTAGCCAGTGTGGTTGTGGGTGCCTGTAATCCCAGCTACTCGGGAGGCTGAGGTAGGAGAATCTTGTGAACCCGGGAGGCAGAGGTTGCAGTGAGCTGAGATGGTGCACTCCAGCCTGGGTGACAGAAAAAAAAAAGCAGGAGGGGCTTTTGTTTTAAAACACTTTGTCTGGGGCAGCACTTTGGGAGGTTGAGGTGGGCAGACCACCTGAGGTCGGGAGTTTGAGACCAGCCTGACCAACATGGAGAAACATTGTCTCTACTAAAAATACAAAATTAGCTGGCGTGGTGGTGCGTGCCTGTAATCCCAGCTACTCGGGAGGCTGAGGCAGGTGAATCGCTTGAACCCGGGAGGTAGAGGTAGTGGTGAGCTGAGATCGCGCCATTGCACTCCAGCCTGGGCAACAAGAGTGAAACTCCATCTTGCCGGGCGCGGTGGCTCAAGCCTGTAATCCCAGCACTTTGGGAGGCCGAGGCGGGTGGATCACGAGGTCGAGAGATCGAGACCATCCTGGTCAACATGGTGAAACCCCGTCTCTACTAAAAATACAAAAAAGTAGCTGGGCATGGTGGCACGTGCCTGTAATCCCAGCTACTCAGGAGGCTGAGGCAGGAGAATTGCCTGAGCCCAGGAGGCGGAGGTTGCGGTGAGCCGAGATCGCCCATTGCACTCCAGCCTGGGTAACAAGAGCGAAACTCCGTCTCAAAAAAAAAAAAAAAAAAAGAAAAAAAGAGTGAAACTCCATCTCAAAAAAAAAAAAACGGCTGTCTGTCCTCACCCCCTCCCCCAGTAGCCTGTTGGGTGTCTCCTGCCTCCAAATCGGATTTAATTCTCTCTGTGCTCTGCTGAGGCTGGCCTGGTTTAAGAGGATTGGGACACTTGCTAAATGGGACCAGGAACAACAGTGGGGAGAACCATGGGCCAGGATTGCCACCAGGGGGCAGCAGAGGAGAGGCAGAGTGGCAGAAGGAAGTGATGGGGGTGCTTCCATGTGACGAAGGTGAGGAGGGTAAGGGGGTGGGGAAGTGGGGGGAGTGAACTGGGAGGGGATGGTATAGAGAGGACAGTCCTCCCAGCCCACCTGAGTGGGTTAACAGTACTTACATGGTCACTGGATACATTCTGAGAAAATGAGGCTGGGCACAGTGATTCACGCCTGTCATCTTGACACTGGGAGGTTGAAGTGGGAGGGTCTCT